ATCCCTCCCAGAGGGCCGCCCAGTTGCATCCGGAATGCCTCCAGGGCAGGAGAGCCCACCACCTCTCCAGGTAATTGGTTCCATTGTTGTACTGCTCTAACAGACTGGAACTTTTCCCTGTTACATGCCCAGAATCTACCTTTCTGTAACTTGAGCCCAGTATTCCACGTTCTGCACTCCAGGGTAAGCAAAAAGAGAGCCTGAACTTCGCTGTTGTGACAGCCTTTCCAGTGCTTGTACAGCGCTGCCTTTTTTCTCCCAGACTTGTCTTCTTGAGGCTGAACATGCCCAGTTCTTTCAATCTCTATTCATGGGGCTGTCATTTCAGTCCCTGGGTTGTCCTTGTTGCCCTCCTCTGAACCCTTTCCAGCTTGTCTGCATCTTCCTTAAACTGAGGTGCCCAGAACCGGACACAGGAGTCCAGATGAGGCCTAACCAGTGCTGAGTGGAGGGGAACTAGTACATTACCTGATTTGGAAGTGACCCTTCTTTATTTATGCAGCGAAAAATAGTATTTGCAGCCACATCACATTGCTGACTCAAATTCAGCCAGTGATGTACAATGTTCCAAGATCCTTCTCACTTGCAGTATAGTTGGGCCGAGTATTCCGTCTCTTTTATCAATGCCTCAGATTTCTTTTTCCTAGGGGCAGAACTGGGCATTTGTCCCTACTGGATTCCAGGATGGCCTTGACTCATCCTTCTGTCTTCCAGGGTATTAGCTGTTGCAACCAGTTTTGTGCCAGCTGCAAGTCTGATCATTGTTGCCGGCACTTGATCATGCAAACCATTCATACAGAGGACGGGTGAGAGCGCTTGTGCGTGGTGTTACATCAATCCAAATTGGCACCAGAGCATGACCGTGGCAATGCATTGGTCGACTGCTAACAATGCCACTACCAGCCTAGAATGAGGAAGAAAATCTTGCCAGAGGGCAGAGCAAGGCAAGACGTAGCCCTAAAGCTGATGTATCTGTGACCCACGTAATTTCAAAGCTCTCACTGTCGTCCAGGTAGCTGTGCAAACAACTCCGTTCTTTACTGCTCATCCGTTCCAGCTGATGGGAGCTTTGCTGATTGCTGACTAATGGTTGCTGTTCTTACCTGCACTGAAAGTGCCTCAAGTGATCAGTAGCCCTCCTTGTGAGCAAACCTGGATCTTGTGTATCATTTCACTGGGATACCCAGAATGGTCCGCCGACGTCAGGGGCTGGAGCCATGTTTGATTGCAGGCATGTCCTGGTGCGGCTGGAAACCTTCCTGACTGAAAATGTTGGAGTCTAAGAGATGACCCGGCTTCTGCCTCTCTGTCTTCCCCACGGGAAGCTGCTCAGGCGTGTTCCGCGGTCCAGATGCTTTCCTTGCAGTGGTCCTTGCAGTTCTTTGTCTGTGGGTGCATTTCTTATAGAAACACAGAAACTAAGCAAGGCGGAGGGAGTTTTGTAGTCCATCTAGTCTGGCCCGCGGTTCTGACTGGCTCCGCTCATGTGATCCCCAGCATGTGGCTGTCCAATCTTTGCTTGAACACCCTCCACCACCTCCCGTGGGAGCCCATTCCATACTCTAGGGGTCCTCACTGCCAGGAAGTACTTCCTGACCTCCAACCTGAGCCCTGATTCCTTGAGCTTTGCCCCATTCAAATATATCCTGCTCTCCACTGCAGGGAAGAACAGGTCAAGACCCTCCTCCACGTGACATCCTCTCACATAGCCGTAAGTGGCTAAAAGTTGCCCTCGGAGTCTCCCATTCTCCAGGATGAGAAGACCCTGTTCCCTCACTCTCTCTTCATATGTCATCCCTCCCATCCCACCTACCATTCTTGGGACCTGCACTTAACCAATTCTAACGTATCTATGTCTCTCCTATGAGGTGGATCATGCCATATCTCTTTGTATTTAGAAACACTGAAACAGAGTGAGTCAGAAGGGACCTCCTGAACCATCTAGTCTGACCCCCGGCTCCAGCTGGCTCCACTCATGACATGCCTACCATGTGCATGTCCAGCCTATCCTTAAGCACCCTCACCGCTTGAACTTCAACCACCTCCTGTGGAAGCCCATTCCATACCCCAGAGGTCCTAACCATCAGGAAGTACTTCATGGCATCCAAATTGAACCTTGGTTCCCTGAGCTTGGCTCCATCAGCATGTGTGCTGCCCTCCACTACAGGGGAAAACAGGACCCTACCCACCTCTGTGTGGCACTCCCTCGCGTACCTGTATGTCGCCAACAGGTCCCCTCTGAGTCTCCTCCTCTCACGGCTGAAGAGACCCAGTTCCCTCAGTCTCTCCTCCTATGGCTCACCCAGCAAACCAGCCACCATCCTAGTGGCCCATCACGGCACTGATTCCAACCTCGCTATATCCCTCTTGTAATGAGGGGCCCAGAACCGAACACAAGACCCCAGCTGCGAGCGCACGAGAGTCGTGTAGAGTGGCAGTAATACCTCTCTCGATCTAGAAGACACACTTCTGGCTATGCATCCAAGGGTGCCATTCGCCCACTTGGCTGTCGCGTCCCACTGCTGGCTCATGTTTAGCCTGTAGTCAACCAGCACCCCAAGATCTTTTTCACAAGTGCTGCTGCATAATGTTGTAGGAACCTTCTATCTCTGATAGGTTTTGATCTCAATTTTACTTTCAGTGCAACACCTTTGAAAATTAGTTTTCATTTCTCACTGGAAACAATTCACTGCCTGGCTTCTCTAATAATAATACACAGTAGAGAGTTCATCAAAAGTTTGATGTATGCAGTGTCTTCTCTTAAAGGCAATCTTTGAGAAAGCAAGATTTCGGCAAGGCGAACAAAGCAAAAGGGAGAATATTGGCAATATTGACATGACAAACGTCAACTTTGCCTTGAGCTCAAATGAATTCAGCTGTTTCAGCCTTCCACTCATACCAAGATTTTCATTTTTTCTTTCTTCCCAAGCAGATGAATTGAAAGAAACTAGAATTATATGGATCCCTGAATCATATCATCTGAAACGAGTGAGGATGAAATGAAAAAAGACATTTCCAAAATTAACAGGATCCAAAAAGCTCAAGGAAAACCACGTAAAGAACAGGAGGAAATATTCCAGTCTTTCTCCAAGTGTTGGAAACTGTACGCCTTCATTTCAGAAGTTGAGGAAGTAGGAAGGGTCTGGCATGTGACAAATTTCCAAAAGGTTGTTGAAAAAATTAATCCAAGTTGTAGAAACTACACAGGCTGAAGGAATATGCAGAATGTAAAAACAGCATCCCCGCAGGCCCAGATGGATCCTCACCTTCAGAGAACTCTCTGTGTGCAGAACTCAGAGGAACATGCGTCCTGTGAAAGAGCCTCAGGGAGGGGAGATGTCTTAGTGAGCAGCAGTGATCCAGCAACTGAGGAAGCCATATAAATGCATAGAATATGTTACGAGATTCAGTGATCCAGGAAATTGTTCTAGACATCAAACAAGCATAAAAGGAAGATACCAAATAAAGGCATGGAACGCGGAAAGAGCTTCTGTGAAAGTGGACGTTTTACTAAACTTCAGACAACTGACATTAGAGATAAGTCATACTCATGCATGGAATGTGGAAAGAGCTATAGTCAGAGTGACCATCTTACTAAACATCGAAGAGCACACACTGGGGAGAAGCCGTACACATGCATGGAATGTGGAAAGAGCTTCAGGCAGATTGGGAGTCTTAGTCAGCATCAAAGAATACACACTGGAGAGAAGCCGTACACATGCATGGAATGTGGAAAGAGCTTCAGGCAGATTGGGAATCTTAGTCAGCATCAAAGAATACACACTGGAGAGAAGCCGTACACATGCATGGAATGTGGAAAGAGCTTCAGTCAGAAAGGAAAACTTACTGAACATCAAAGAACCCACACTGGGGAAAAGCCGTACACATGCATGGAATGTGGAAAGAGCTTCAGTCAGAAAGGAAAACTTACTGAACATCAAAGAACCCACACTGGGGAGAAGCCATACACATGCATGGAATGTGGAAAGAGCGTCAGTCAGAAAAGAACACTTACTGATCATCAAAGAACCCACACTGGGGAAAAGCCGTACACATGCATGGAATGTGGAAAGAGCTTCAGTCAGAAAGGAAAACTTACTGAACATCAAAGAATACACACTGGAGAGAAGCCATACACATGCATGGAGTGTGGAAAAAGCTTCTATACTAGTGAAATCCTTATTAAGCATCACAGAACACACACTGGAGAGAAGCCATACACATGCATGGAATGTGGAAAGAGCTTCAGTCAGATTGCGAATCTCAGTCAGCATCAAAGGACCCACACTGGGGAGAAGCCATACACATGCATGGAATGCGGAAAGAGCTTCAGTCGGAGTGGAAATCTTACTGTACATCAAAGAACCCACACTGAGGAGAAGCCATACACATGCATGGAATGTGGAAAGAGCTTCAGTCAGATTGCCAATCTCAGTCAGCATCAAAGGACCCACACTGTGGAGAAGCCATACACATGCATGGAATGCGGAAAGAGCTTCAGTCGGAGTGGAAATCTTACTGTACATCAAAGAACCCACACTGGGGAGAAGCCATACACATGCATGGAATGTGGAAACAGGTTCAGCCATAGTTATCAATTCAGGTGCCATCTGAGAATTCATCTTCTTGAGAACTTGCAAGGAACACAAACTAGGTGAGAGGCCTTGCAAATTCATGCAATGAGCAAAAAGGGAACTTGGGGGTAGAATGTGTGATGAAAATGTCAGCTCATTTAACAATATTTAGCATTTGGCTTTAGATTCTGATTTATTGAACCCGCTGCTGGTTTATTATTTCATTGTCTTACTGATTATACTGTGCTTATCCTGTTGCATTTTATATTGCATTTTTTATATTGTGCACCATGGTTTTAGCTATTACTGTTATCTATTTTCAGCTGCATCATTGTAATTATTGCATTGTGAGCCACCCAGAGAGCCTTCCAGCTATGGGGCGGCATACAAATGCAATAAATAACCCAATTGATAAATATTTCTTCACACAACATATACTTTAACTGCAGGATTGGCTGCCATGGGAGGTATTGATGGCCACCAATGTCGATGGCTTTAAAAAGGAATTTAATATGTTTGGGGAACTACAGACTATCTGTGGCTGTGAGCATCACTGATGAAGTGAGTTTGTGCCTGCACAGATCAGTTGGGGAGGACCTGACCAGGCAGAGCCCATGTGTCCTTGCACATGAAAGAACCCTCACCAGAGAGAAGCCACATAAATGCCTGCAAGGTGCAAAGCCCTTCAGGGACAGAGGAAGCCTTACAAAGCCTCAAAGCATGCAAACTGGGAGGGGTATCGTAGAATGTCAGAGTGTGGGAAGAGCTTCAGATGCAAGGCCACTGAGTCCAGCATTTTCTTTGCAGAGTGTGGCAGATTTTGATTTCAGCAAAGCCTTTGATGAAGTGCTCCATGACACTCTGCGCAGGTAACCAGCTAAAAGTGGGTGAGATGGAGCCACTCTGGGGTAGTGGGGAATCCAGAGATGGCCACAGAGCTGGACTCAGGGGGCTTCTCAGGGGCATGGTCTCAGGCTGTGGAGCCGCCACGAGTGGGCTCCTGACTCGGTTGTGCGCCCAGCGATCCTCCACATGCGTGTGAATGGCTGGGATCAAGAGGTGCAGGGCAGGCATGTCTGAGTTGCAGGTGACGCGTACCTGGCGGTATAGCCAACACCTGAGTGGGAAGGAGCCAAATCCAAGGTGATCTGGATAGGCCGCTGCGCTGGGGTGAAAGCAAGAGGGAAATGCAACCAGGAAACATGCCAAGAACGACCTCCCCACAGAGGCCCACCTGATGCCCACCTTGCTGTCTTTTCAGCTCCAGGTCAAGATGTTACTGCATGTCATTTAAGTTACTGTGGCTTTATGTGTTCTTTGCTCGGGCTCTATCAGGTTTTATCTTGATAAATTTGCTGTAATTGGAATTTCAAGTCTGTTTCCAATGTGGTCTTACATTTTTCTATGGAAACTATTTCTCATTTTTCACAATGTTTTTATACTGTGGTGTCTTTTTAATTGTGTTTTAATAGATTGCCTTAAATTGCCCCAAGGGCATCAGTAATTTTGTAGTATGGAAGTAAAAAAATGAGTTCTGCAGACAGGAGTTGCTTGGCTCAGCAATAGTGCAACTGAGAAGGATCTTGGAATTACAGTGGCTCTCCAGCTGGATGTGAGCCAACCATGTGCTGGAGCCACAGAAAGGAGAAATGCTCCCTTGGGCTGCATGAAGAGAAGAGTCATTTCCACTCCATGTAAGGAGCTGCTTCCCCTCCAATTGGTATTGATTAGCTCCCATTTTGAGGATTATTCCTAGTTTTGGGCACCACACTTCCAGAAAGAAGACGACTAACTAGGAAAAGTTAAGAGGAGGGCAATAAAGATGGTTCTGGAAACAAAGCCAGACGAGGAGGAGAGAAGAACTGGGCATGTTGAGCCTTGAGAATACTGAGGGGAAATAGGCTTGCTCTCTTCCAGTACGTAAGAGGCTGTCAGATGGGGGGGGGGGCAGGATCTCTTCTTGATCATCCTAGGATGCAGGATGCAGAATAACAGGCTCAAGTTGCCGGCAGCTAAATTCCAACTTGTTATGAGTCCGGATACCCTGACTCTGGTACTGTACTGCAATGGAACCTGTGCCTTCATGTGACTCTGTCACACGGGAGGCATCGGAGAGGCTGCTGGACAGCCATCTGAGAGGTGTAATTTCACTTGGGTCTCATCAGGGAGTTGGTCCCCTGGCCCCCTCCAGCTCTCCAGTGATCTTTGAGCTATTGCCATTCATTGACACACATTTCTCCCTGGCAGTTCCTTTGCAAGGGCAGGAGAAAGTGGCTCCCACCCTAAGGGCAGAATTCTGTGCATGTTAGAAAAAAAATCCTGCCCCTCCCAGGTAGAAATTGTCCAGGAGTCATCTGATTGTCTCCTAAATGCTTAAATGGGAGATCCCAAATACATGCAGAGAACGTGGAAAAAGCTTCCATGCAAGGGAAGGTTTTACTAAACTTCAAAGAATTCACTCTGGAAAGAGATACAAACACGTGGAATGAAAAGAGCTTCATTTGGAGTGGATGGACGTCTTACTATGCTTCAAAGAATGCACACTGGGGAGAAGCCATGTACGAGCATGAATACGGAAAGAGCACCCCAGCGGAAGTTATGTCATCCCAGCAACAGGGAGGCTGTGAAAAGCCACCCTACAAAGCGTGAAAGGGGCTCATTGCAGGCACTGGAATGGAAGCAGCAGCACATTCAGCCGATTCAGCGAAAAAAGCTCGGCTGGATGGTGGCTTGGAATGGTCCCGGGAGACGATATGGGAAACCTGGAGCACCCAGGTACGATCCCGGGATCCGTTTTTTCCTTTTCTCCGAGACAGCAGTTCAAGAGGGCCGGCAGGAAGGGCCTCGCCTCAGCCCCTGCCCCTGCCCCCCGGAGGGTTCAGCAAGGAGCGGTGCGCTTCTTAGGGGCCGGAAACGGGAGGGCCGGAGTCCGAGTGGACGCCTCCATGGTATGCTCGGCAGGGCGAGGGGCCTGGTGGGTTTCGCGGCGGGGAGCCAGATTCGTGCGGGTGAGAGAGGGGAGGGCAGGGAAGGCCCCGCGAATGCGGGATGGGGGGGCGAACATGGGGGGGGGGCGGTTTGGGGGTGAAAGGGGAGGCTGAAGGGTCGCTTGTAGGATCTGATTCCTGTACTCTAAATGCAAAGCACGGCGAGGTTTCCATTGCACGGTCCCCGCGCTGAGCGCCCTCCCCGGGGAAGAGTTCAGCCCCAGGAGTCCCGCGGGCAGCAGGCCCCGGTGCAGCGAGGCAAGCATGGCGAGGGGAAGGGGGGGATCTTTTGCATCCTCCTCGCCCCCCAAAACGAAAGGAGGCATCTTCGCCTGCGACGTGCCTCCCCGGCAGGGGTGCGCTTGCAGAAACTTCTGCCCGCTCAGAGCACCCTGCAGGCTCGGGGGTCGTGGGAATGCGATCGGGGGGGGGGGGG